ATAAAAAATCGTGTCGAGCGAAAATCAAAAGCGGATAAACTGAAAACCTATTTGATGGGTTTACTCGATAGAGCAGGGAGATCCTTCTTCGCAATAAATACTCAGCCATACCAATCGTCTTGGTGTACGTTGCGCTATTCGACCGACAATCAAATCGGAGCCATCCGTTCGTCGCCCTCAATATGGTTAACCGTGAGTCCTGCGACAAGAGCGTCCCAAACCGGCAAGGCTACGTGTAGCTATGCGATACCGTGGAATACCCGAAGTACCTGGCGTTGACCATCGGACGGAGCCAACGCTAGTATGCCGGACAAGAATCCGATCTGGTGTCCGCAGGCACTCTCATAGTTTACGTGCTCTCGTTCTTGGGGTTCGGGGCTTCCGCACGTACGGCGGCTTTCGTACTGGGTATACGCCGTACGCGCCACTACCGTACGATCTACTATCGTCGCCTCTCGTTGTCATCGATTAACAACCCCTTGCGGAATTTCGATCGTTAGGGTCGATCTTACGCGTTGCGCGATGAACACCGAAACGCAGCTCGTGTCGAGCGATCGCGATGAATGTTATTCCAGGAAGTCGAGAATGATCCCTTTCCAATTCTTTTTTAATTTAATCTTTACAAATCCAGTGTTAAATCACTCTCTTATTTCGAAAGTATTACAACCTAAACAATAATTTACCAGAAAACTATTTCTCAATTTCTGACAGAAAATTATTAAATAATCAAATAATATAAAAGAATATATTTTTAGCAAATCAAATGTCATTTTTATCACTTTCATTTTACAATCCTTGAAAAATCACCCTTGTTGAATTTGACGATTTCTTTTTAATCATCCTTTTTAAATTGTAATGATTTAATAAAGTTAAATTAGCTAATTTTTATTTATTTATTTCTTTATTTAATCTTTACGCGAATTCAGTGTTAAAATATCGCTCTCTTACTTCAAAAGTGTCACAACTTAAAACATAGAGTTTTCAGAAAAGTAAAGTCCTATTTCTCAACTTGACATCAAATTACTGAATAATCAAATAATATTAAAGAACATTATTAAAGAAATTTTTAACATAATCAAATGTCATTTTTGTCACTTTTATCTCATAATCTTTAAAAAACTATCCTAACTCATTTATGGCAATAACTAAAGAATCACGTATTTTTAGTTGCTACTTTTAAAGTAAAGAAGCGATATGTTAAAATAATTTAAAGTACGCTTGACAGGAACCATGAAAAATGTACGTTCTCCTAGAAAATATAAAAATTCTCGCGGAGGATACTCTCTTTTTTTTTTAAAGAGAGTACGAAGAGATGCAGATGGACTCACTTTGTGTCATCTTGAACGTTCTGGCGGCCTCGGTGACGCTGATCAATCCGTTGCAGGCAGCATCCGAGCTCTGCGCGAGGTTCCACGTATTGTTCGATGGATTTGTGTAAATAAAACATCTGTAGCTCTCTTCGTCGCTTGTTTTACGATCGTTACGATCACTGTGCAAGCGCGCGACCATGTAATTTGTGCTGCCCTCCCTCCAATGAGCCAGACACTCCAATTCTACATCTAGAAAAACAAACCGTTACAATTGTAAATTGGCATGTATCCAATAATAACTGTTATTTTTTTTTTGCTTTCCCCCCTCCCCGCCTCCCCTCCTCCCGTTTTATCGAAATGCACGGTGCCGTTGATGTGTACGCGGCCGTTGTAGTGTATACTTTTACGGGGGTTTTACAGAAAACATAAACTTGCAGGGTGTTAAAGTTATCAATTGACGGGCGAGATACACCGGCTTTTGCAAAGATATATCAAAGCGAACGAAAATTCGGTCGTGATTCTCCAGCCTACGCGACCCTATTAGTAACAGACTCGTAAATAGAAGTTTATCGCTGTTGTCCCCGGATAAAGCCATCTGTAGAAGTTATAAATGGGGGTAAACGATATATGAATGTTCACATGAAAATGCATTATATCGTTCGCATACGCGATCCGCAGACGTGTGTGGCGCGATGCTGCGCCCTGTATTCATTTATCCGCGTGCCGCGTATCGAGATAGACGATCGGGCACGGGCCGATGATAATTGCGCAAAATCGTTTGGACAAGCCCAGCAACAAATGGTAATTGACAAGGCCATTAATCATTCATTCCGAAGCCGCGAGCTTTATTGACCGTTACAGGCCTTGCGCGTTGTGTTAATTAATGTCAAAGCGAATGTTAACGTCACCGCGGAAACACCGCCGACGTCATAATTCCTTTTTACTCGCCGAAATGCGCTCTGCGCACCTTAACGACATGACAAGTCGACGAGTTGGAAATACCTTCCTTTCGCGTATGATTTGATCATATGGCGATTTTGTTTCCGATAACTGGAATAGCCGATAGCCTACAATATTTCTCCGCTCGCAACAATTAGAGACCGCTGTTACTCCTCTCGCCACATTTTATTGTGTTTTTTTTAAATAAATCATTTTTTACAATAAAAAATCGATAGAAAATTTAAAATAAATGAAATGTTGAAACTTCGCAAAAAAAAAAAAAAACGTAAATGAGAAAAAACTCGATGACAATAAAGCTATGAATTGAAACTTTACATCCGCGTACTTCAAAATTTGCATCAGTATATTGAAGCACTCAGCAAGCGCTTTATAACTGTAGATTGCAACGAATTAATTATGAACCAATAACAAAATGTCACTAGGCAGTGATTGGACTCGCACACGTTGTATAATTCATAATTGTTTAGGTATTCACTTGACAAATTACGAGCGTTTGTAAACAGGTATAACACAATTGCCATGTAAATGGATATTGCACAATGCATGTTGGCATAATAATATTATTTTATACGCGGTATCTATTGTATATGGTACCTGTTTGTTGAACGGTGTCAAAGATACCATGGAAAGCACCGTAATCAAATTTATATAATCGCCAGCATTTAGTTAGAAAGAATATAAAACAAGAGGTACATCCTATACAAGACATAATTTCTAGAACATTGAACGTTCATAAACGTTCTATAAACATTTGTACATTTTTAAGATATTCTATGATGTGTACTATCTAGGATGTATGTATATAAAATAGATGGCCAAAATTTTCTCCGTTCACTGCCCAATTACTTTGTAAACTCCACAATCCACAAACTAATGATTATTTGTATTACAATTATATTTCTTCAAGACACCAGATATTTAAGCCACAAATTTGAGCACCCTCCCTAACATGATAAAAGAAAAAAAGGAAAAAGAAAGATGTCTAAAGATTAAATAGACGTATTTAGCCACGCACCATTGATATCTCGTTCGTCTGTGTAAAATGAGTTTGTCACATGTCAACATAATGACACGGGGAGTGTACTGACCCACACTTTCGGACGAGTGAACGTTGGCACACGCTTGGTAGCGCAGGAGCAGACGTGAATCCTGCGTGCACGCTTCCGCCCGTGACCGCGGCGAATTACACTCGCCCTCGCCCTGGCTGTACGTGAACTCCAGGGGACCCTTAATGGGACAGGGCAACGGCGCCGCATTGGAGCGAAACAGAGAGACCAGAGTGGCATCGCTGGTCAACGTGCCGCATTGGGTCAGCAGACTCGGTTCCGGTGAATCGCTCGTGCAATAAGCTAATAACAACAGCAAAACGTAACGTGGCATCACCATTCGTTGTAAATGCGACGATGAGATGATGAAACGTATATTATGTTTATTTTGTTTTCCGGTCGAAGTACAATTTCGAACAAATTAAGATATAAGAAAAGAAAAACTGCACTGAGGGCGAAACAATTAAGAATGAAATGAGGACGTAAAAATAGAGAGCGATTTTTGTTCTGTTCTGTTTGTAATAATTAAGTTCCTTTTAAGAAAACGAAGGGATGAAAAAGAAACTAGACCGAAAAGAAGAAAAAAGAATGTAAAAATAACAACATAATGTAAGATGATATTTTATCAGGCATAAAGAAGGCAAAAGATTATAACAAGATTCAGTAAAGCATAAATTTTTATGACGCTCTGAATTAAAAAGCTAAACATTCTTTAAGGAGCAGAATGTCCTTTAAAAATCTTAATAATTAGCAATATCTTACTTTCTTTGTATTGTAGAACGTTGGCATGTTGCGCGTGCATCACAATACACCGGTAACATCTGTACTTCCTGTAACAGAACGAAAAAAAAACCAGTTTTGAATGTTATTCAACGTAGGTTTTATAAATTTTACTCATTCATATTACTTACGAATTGAAACCGATAGAAATAAAATCTACGATACATATATCGTTATGTCACCGCATTCTGTTTTTTTTTATTAAACAAATCCATCCACTGAAAGCATGTTTTGAAAGAAGCTTTTGAATGGCAACACCAAAAAATTTTAAAAGCATATTTTTAAACGATTTTCATACGTACAGGTGATTTATACGCAAAAACTACACAGAAAGAACGACATTTTACTAAAGTATCTAAAAATTTAATTAGATTATGATCTAAAAATAATTTTGTTAAACCATCAAAATAATCTTGTAAATACCAAGCAACCAATTTGCGTCCTGCATAATTATTCCGATGATCATAAAAAAAATATTATTTTCAGATTTGTATCTAGCTGAAATTTTATTTCGACAAAATCTTTCTGCGTATATAATTCAATTTAATGGAAAATAAAAAAAAAATTATTGCGAAAAATCAGCGAATCGTTAATCTAATATCAAGATGAGATTTATAATTCCGATATATTCTCCACATATACAAACAGAGTCCATTTTATATAATTATAAAAGAGCGGATTTTATTCAACGCGTGTATACTTCGATTTGTTTCAAACGCGGTATTCGGCGTTGTGCTTACGCCCGCTGTCATTCCTCATCGCGGTGGCTGTATTTACGTTGATTTCTGCTCTGGAAAAAGGTATAAATCATCGCGGGCCGCCCTATTTGAATACCGCGTAAATTTACAAACCAAATATCGAAGTAATTTCTGTCGCGGCGGCGCTCGCGAATTTTGCCGTCGCGCTCGTCGTCGCAACCGGCACGATTTCGTCGATTATCGTCCTTTTCAAAATGCACCGCTAAAGCGGATTAATATCGTTACAACCTCGAGGCTGTCCCGGTGCGCATAGTAACACAGATGCACCGGTGGCAGAGTGGCGATAGTAGCCGGAAACTATATCGAACTGACAGCCGGGAACAAAGGTAAACTTCGACTTAAGCTGCTAAGAGGAGAAGGGGAGGAAAAGGTACCGAGGGATGGAAAGGGGTGAACTCGGAAAAGGGGTAGAATGGGAAACAGTGGAGAAGCTGCACGAGAGAAGGTAAGTTGCGGACCCGAGCTAAGTAAGCAAGGTGCCAACTAGTAAGGACACAAGACAAGCTCCGAAAGTTTTAAGTAGCTACGCGATACTACTCGTTGGACTTCTCTCTCCTTTCCTTCTTCTCTCTCTCTCTCTCTCTCTCTCTCTCTCTCTCTCTCTCTCTTCCACTTATACTAGCGACGTCATTATTGCACTGCGTTTGTCTTTTCGTTCACGCGCGCGTGTCCCGATTTCTCTCACCTTTCAGGAACTGGTTCAGTAACGACAGCGATTCATCGATGAGAGAAAGATCAATTTTGGACTAAAGTTGTCGGGAGTTCCGGCCAACTCTTAATGGGTTTTAAATCGTCGACGCGATCTCCATCATTGCGGAAACGCATAAACGGTCCGCGCAAACTCGCGCCGACCATGAACCGAAAGTTGCGAAGTTTGTTTGCACGTTTCGACGCAAGCTCGCGTCTCCGAAAATGATTTGGACCGCGAACGTCGTCATCCCGCGATCGTATTCCACAATGCGAGAGAGAGAGAGAGAGAGAGAGAGAGAGAGAGAGAGACTTGCAGCAAGCAGACTGAAGCAGCCTGGAAACGCGGTTGGTTCGTAGTTAAATGCGGACGCCTTTGTCTAAGGAGCGGAACGCTTTTGTCAATAGAAATCGTCTCGCTTCAAGCTCTTGCGTGAGCGTTTCTATAACAACTCTGCTCGCGGACTTCTCTCACGCGACGATCGACCTTCGTTTCCCATAATTATAAATTTCTCTTCGCCATCTTACCCGCGTTGAAGACGTAATTTGTCGCGTACGTAATTCGTCTTTGCTGCTTTCTCTCCAAACATCCAAACGTGTTCGAACCTGCTGCTCCATTCGCGCTCAAGTTTCTCATTCTTTGAAAAGTTACTTTCCCATTAACTATCTTATCATCGTCGTTGACATAGTAATAATTTATTCAATTTTTAACAATTTTTAAAATGCTATCGTATGTAAATTTTATGTTTAAGATCAGTGCTATGTGTCTTTAGTAGCAGGGTTGTCACAAATTTTTCATTTTAAATTCTATAACTTTTTCTTGATTTTCGGACAAAATTTCGTGATTTTTTTCTAACTTTCAATAATATTTTAAAATTTTTTATATTTTTGTCCTGATTTGGAAATCGTTATAAATATTTTATTGAGAGATCAATTTAATATAACAATGTAAATTACTATTAATGTTATTGATACTGTTTGCATTTTTAATTTCTTTAAGCCAAGATTTTTAATTTTCCAGAGAATTTTGTAAATACTTCCCTATATCCTGATTTACTTGACCGTTTTTAATTCCCCTGACAATTTCCATAATTTCCAGTTTTGTCGCAACCCTAAATAGTCATCATGAAGTCCAATCTATCATGCTAAAAGCTAGAACAAACGGAGACAAGCTTTTGAAAGTTCAGTCCATTATATGCATATCAATTTAATCCTCTTTGTGATCAGAGAACGTGTATAACAGAGAACGTGTTAAGTAATTTCAATTTTTAAACAGTTTTGTGAAATTTCCACTTATTAAGAATGGCAGAATAATGATACTTAATAAGATAATATGAGGATAACAGATAAATTGTATATTTCACTGATCTCACAGATTCGATTTACCGAAAGTTTGCAATGTGGCTTGAACTTCGGTATTGTAAACGGTGCTCGTAACGTTTTAACCAGACGTTCGATTAACCGGCACGCTCGCTTTAAGAATTACACTTTCACGGAATTATCTGCATAGGCATCTGAGCCACTCTATTCACTTTATTCCTTGTCCGAACTCTTACTCAAAAGCTTCTTATTCGAAAGCTTCTTTCTTTCTCCTGCCAACTCATTCTGGTTCATTGCTATTTGCGCCCTCAAGCTAAAGGAATTCGCATTATTTCTAGAATAAATATATTTAGAGCTTTAATCGATATACGACTTTACATGCTTTATCCTTACAGTTTTGTTATTATATATATTTTATCGATGATTGTTATTGTATAAGAAGACATTGAACATATTCCATATTATTTCAAAATTGAATTTAATAGCATATTCTTTCTTTCTTTTTAAATTAATAATTACTTTATATAAAAATCTAGATTATACAAATATTTTGTTATTAAAAGTGAAAGTTAACTAATTGCAATTTTTAGCACTTTTTCTTCAAAAATTAAATATATTTGCTTATCCACATTGTTTAGCGTTTAACATCAAATATTTAAAAAATTCCGACTAATCACAGATTCTCCTTGTTGTGTATAAATCACGATGTTAACGACGGCATAAGTATGTGTTTGCCATGAACCATCTTGATTCCTCCACTCGATCGGTCGCCTCTCTTGTTCCCAGTTGAACGTTTTTACTTAATCGTTAAACGAAATGGTTTACGTTAAGTCGAGTATTCGCATTTTAACGAGAGAACCACCGTTAAAATCATCCTGCCTCAACCCTCGATAATTCTGATGCTTTATCGCTCGATGAACTTCGCACTAATAACGCGGAATGAGACGAGACGAATGTGAGATCGTTTCTCGTTCTTCCCATCATTTCTGCATCGTTTCTCGTCTATATCGTTGCTGTATATAAACTTACCACGATCTTTCCAATACGCTTGAGTTATTAATGACGCTTGAATTATTAACGCAAGAATCTATTTCTGGATAAATAAATAACGATTTTTAATATGACATCGATCTCGTATACCACGAAATCCGCGGATAAGAGAGAATTTTGGTAGGAGATTAATAATTCGTCTGATGCCGCCGTTATTCTGCGTATGACGACTACTTCAATATGTTAATGTGTAACGTTGATTTCTGCTCTCGCGTATAGAACTTTTATTTCTTTTGCATAAATATCCCCGCGTCTCTGTATGTAATCCATACGTCGAATCGTGTTCTGTGTTTGTATTTTAATCCGATCGCTACCCTGCACATTGACGTCGAACATTTCAGAATGCAAATTCGTAATCTTCTGTTTTCACATGTTGACATCTTGCGTAAACACCCGGTACAGCGTAATCCATATATTCCATTCGGTTTCGCTCGTATCGGATTATCGCGAGCCACTGATATTACAGAGCGTGATAATAACCAGTTTTTATTTCGTCATTTTGTGAAGAATAGAAACGCACGGGGGTGAAAGAGGGAGGGAATAATTCTTTACAGTCTCGTTCAAACTTAGTACATAAATTTTTTTACATGAAAAGAAGAAGGATAAATACTCGAGAAAAATGTTTTGGGACGATTCTGAATGTAGTTTCACGAAACTACATCATAGTTACTCAAATAATATAAAGTCCAAAATCGGAACATAAGATGTCTTTTAAACATCTTATAAGATGTTTTATGTCACACAATTTTTGTTTTCTGGATACCTAAGAAACAAAGACATTGTTAGATATCAAAGAAGAGTAACCCAATTCTTTGTTAAATATTTTAATATTTTTAACTTCTATGTGTTAAAATATATTCAATCCATTTCTTTGATTAGTTTCAAAGTCAACAATGTCTGTATAACTGAAGAAAGAGTTTGATAATACTGTAGTTACCAAATAATGCAATTTAATGAAATAATGCAAATTAAATATTTGGTTAATATAATCAAAATGAAATTGATTTTGTAAATATTTAGTATTATATAACGTTTATTATATAACCGTTTGGAAACATTTACTGAATATTTAAGAAAGATAAAATAATTTTTAATTATACACGGAGAAAGTTTTATATTTAAAATTACTATAAAATTACTATGTGTGGTAGTAGTTGCGGACTATCATGTAAATTATAAATTTAAATGCTATAGCTATTATTTTAAAAACAATAATGCAACGTAATTTTTATACT